GGATATAATTGTTTTGTTGTTCAAAAACTTGTCAATGTAGAGCACGTGTACCGAGGGATGAACAGTAGTAGTATTCAGTGCTGTGGAAGTTGTCCGACGATTCTTATTAGCAAACTGCGAATATTGCAGAACATAGACGGAAAACAAATACCAGGCCCGTCCACACCACATACTGATGTGCTGAGTTTTAACAAGAGATATTGAGGAATTTTAGCAATGACGATGACGACGGCGAAGACGACGCCTTGTAAAAACTGTATTAATATTTTACCCTCGAATGTCGCAACTTTGTAGATCTGTTCAGTACGCGAATGGCTCTAAAAACTTGCTCAGGTTAAATATGCAATGAAAACGTTCAATTCCAAAGGAAGACACGAAGTATTAGCCATCGAGGTACACGTTGTCCAAAATACGTACGACTTTGTCATTTCACGGGTTGTTGTTTTGCAGAGGACGGCAAAGATATGTTCAAAGATTCAAAACGCACGCGCAGGACCATTGTTTTGTTCATTAAACCTTTTGGTTGGTGACGTTCTCGTTGCCGTCGCCGTCGTGGTTTGCTAAAACTCCTTGTCCTCATTTTGCGCGTTATTTGTACCGCATCAAGAAGAATTGGATAATACGGGCAAATATTTCACGAGAGATTTACAGTATTTGTTTATTCAGTGACCCTTTATCCGCCAGTCTTTCAAAACCACAAATTAAAATTATTCTCTAATCCTCCAAATAAAAGAGGGAGCTTAAGCAACGACGACGACGACGACACCAAGGACGACGCCTGGTAAATAATGAATTTATATTTTGCAAGCGAAATTCGCTATTGTCTAGATCTTTGCAGTACGCCAATGGCTCTAAAAACGTGCTTAAGCTAAATATGCAACGACGGGGTTCAATTCCAAATGGAAATACGAAAAATTAACCGTCGTCGTCCACGTTTCACGTTAGGGAGCTTACTTTCGCACGACGGCGCCGTTGGGTCACTTTATAATCCCGCGTCGTCGTCCTGTAGAAATATGAATTTACGATTCGCAGTGAAGACGACGACGTTTATGCGCGACCGGCAAATTTATTTTTGTCTCAGGAGCTCGAGAAAAAAAATACACAAGACAGACCAACAAAATGTGCTGGCATGGCAGAAAAGAAAGCGTAGCTGTACGTCGAGAAAAACTTGGGTTCTAAAAGATTAGGCTGGCTATAAGACCACTCAAAACAACAGAGGAAAAATCGCCTAGCTCTGTAGTTGAGCTATCTAGTCCTTGTTTCTAACTGTCGACACGAATGCTAAAACTTTTCAGTCCTTTCAAATTCATTGTACACCAGAACATGTCTTATATTTTAGTGAAGCGTGATTAAAATGAAAGATTTTTCACACAGCAATTTGCTTTTCATTCATACCGTGTCGTGCTTTGACCGCTCTCAGAAAACTTGCTCCTCCTCCTCACGTCCTCCTGTTTCAAAGACGCCGGCAATTCGCTCTCACCAACGTCGTCGACTTTGGCGCGAAGCTGGGAAGTGCTCAGAAAAGCATGCGCAGTGAGCATGTCACGCAATCTAACGGCGGCGTCGTGCAAAAGTTGTCGATTCGTAAGCTCCCACAGCTATTGTTTTACTCATGAAACCTTTTGTTTGGTGACGTTCTCGTTGCCGTCGTCGTGGTGGTTTGCTTAAGTTCCCTATTTGTATTTGTAGGTTGCTCCTTATGGTAATCAAGGTCTCATCAGTGGAGACCTGAACCGCGTGAAAAGAGTGGGACACAATTGGCACTGGGGTATGGGATATGGTAGTGATTCTGATGGAGGAGATACAGCAGCATTTTTGAAGTAAGTCGGTTTGATGAAAAATAAACATTCAGTCAACCATCCAGACTTAAAGTTTTCATCAGGGTTCCAGATTTTGCAGATTCAAGTCCTGCTCTGACCACTTAATGCGGTTGTTTCACACTTGACCCAAAGCTTCTCAACCATGCTGGTACAAAGAGTAAAGAATTATGTTTCTTTGTTCTTTCCCCGTACTGTACGTAATATTGAACCAAATGGACGTTATTTGAATTTCTAAAACAAAACTTATAGGAAACGGCATATAATTACGTTCTTTTTGTTTTGTTTTTGTGTATAGACAAGTGTACAACAGGTTTGGTGAAGTTACATCATTTACAGGCACTTACAAAGCAGATAAGTGGTCCCTGGAGTTATCTTCTCCACAAGGACAGAGCAGTCCTAATTGTTTGTCCCAGGTTAGTCCGTCTTGCGAATTACACTAGGACAAAAGCAACGCGAGCGAATTTGTTTCGAATTCTGGCGAACTTTCAGCGAAAGTTTGCTAAAATGCCGGTTACATTTCCATGATATTTCGCTTGGCTAAGTGAAAAGAGTGCTGCTTAATTTCGCGAAGTTTCGTTTGACTAAACACGAACTT